CCAGCCCAATTACAGATTTTACATACCATAGAGGGGGATGAAGTTCCTGGGGTGCACATAAAGGATGTGCTGGGGTGTCCTGGGTTCAGCAGTAGCAGTCATGTTTCTCCTCCTTGGTAGCTGGTGCAGTGCAGTGTTTTGACTTTCGGCTCGGGAACAGAGCTGATAGAGATGTTTTGGTTTGGCCAAGGACTTTGTGAGCCTCATGCTCTGCCAGGGAGGAGGGGAAGCTGGGAGGAAGCAGAGACAGGACACCTGACCCAAACTGACCAAAGAGCTATTCCATACCACAGCACGTCATGCCCAGGATGTAACTGGGAGTTAGCCGGAAGGGCTGGGAGACTGCAGGGTTGGAGGAGGTATCGGTCGGAGCTTGGTCGGGCTTGGGGGGCCGAGTTATCGGTCAGCTGGTGCTGAGGTGTTGTATTCTCTCCCTTGTAATTTCCTTTATCATTATTATCACTGGTGGTAGCAGTAGTGATCTGTGTTATACCTTAGTTACTAAACTGTTCTTATCTCAACCCGTGGGAGTTGCATTCTTTTCGATTCTCCTCTCCGTCCCTCCGGGAGCAGGGGGAGGGCAAGAAAGGGGGGAGAAGTGAGCGAACGAGTTACCTGACTGGGTTTAAACCACGACATGGGGCAATCAGTCTGTGCTATTGCCGATTCTGGGGACTGCTTTTGCTCAAAGAGCTGGGGGCTTTTGGTGGGTATTGCGGGAGGGTGGGGAAGTCCGACGTGTACCTGAAGGAGATCTGATTTGGAGTGAAAAGAGCCAGTGAACTGAACTTTATGATGCTGTGTAATACTGAATTCCGTGATCGCTTCCATGGCGGCTGAACACCCATCACTGCACGGGACACCTCGTGGCCCCTGTCCCCACCGCCGTGGGTCTGAGGATCTGAACCTGACTCCCTTGATCACCATTAATGAAGAATGGACTTTGATCAAACTGGACAAGTGTCACAGTGATGGAATCGGAACTGACTTCAGCATCCAACAACCCAACACCCCACACCATCCATCTTTCCTGCCTGGAGACACTGCTATGGCAGATGGAGCCCCAAGTCATGACAGTGGGAAGTGTGAGGCCTGGCATGACATAAATGGTATGGACTAAGGGGTGGATACTGTCCTGGTTGTGGCTGGGACAGTGCTCGTTTGCTTTCTAGCACCTGGTGCTCTGCTGTGTTTTGGCTTTATTCCGAGAGCAGTGCTGACAACACACTGACGTTTTAGTTGTACATAAACCGGGGAGGAGATATCTGGAAGGGAAGGATCACTGCTCGGGTCGGGCTGGGTATCACTCAGCAGGTGCTGAGCAATTGTATTGGGCATCACTTGTGTTTATTGGGGTGGCTTTTTTCTCTCTTCTTGTTATGTCCCTTATCATTATTATCACTATTATCAGCACTAGTACATTGTGCTTCGGTTATTAAACTGTTCTTATCTCCACCCTCGGGTTTTTCATCCTTCCCTTCCTGCTCCCCATCCCGCTCCAGGAGCCAAAACCCGCCCCAGAGTCACCGACACCTCCGCACACCCCCCCCCGGGTGCCGGGGATCGGCTGCCCCAGCAGCACCTCCCCCCCGGGAAGAAACAGCCCCAGGGCCCCCCACAACAGCCCCGCTCCATCCCCAGGGCCGGAAAGCTGCGGGACCCCCACAGCTCCCAGCCCCCCATGCCCCGGCTTCGCAGCACCCCACACTCCCAGCCATCTCGCAGCCCCACTGCCCAGCGCTCGCACCCGCCCCCCGCATTCCCCCGCAGCGCCCGGCCCCACTGCCCAGAGCCTCGGGGGGCCGCAGACCCCCAGCCCCGCTCCCCGGGCTCTGCAGCGCCCCCCAGACCCGCGCCGCGCCCGCTCACCCTCACCTCCTCCCGCTCGGCCGCCGCCATTGCCAGCTGCAGCTCCGCCTCACGCCCTGGGCCCGCCTCCGACGCAGCCAATCAGCGCACGGCTCCCCCGCGCAGGGCACGCTGGGACCTGTAGTCCGGCCTCCGGCACATGCGCACGGGGCAGTGGGCGGGGAAGGGGGGAGGCAGCGGGACCCCCGTGAGGGGCGGGGCCTTTCCTCAAGGAGGAGCCGCCCCCCATGGGATCCCAGAGGCACCGGATGGGCTGGGGTGAAGGGACCTTAAAGCTCCTCCAGCTCCAAGCCCTGCCACGGGCAGGGACACCTTCCACATGGAAGGAGCAGCTTGCTCCGAGCCCCTGTGTCCAACCCGGCCTCCAACGCTGCCAGGGATGGGGCAGCCACAGCTCCTCTGGGCACCCTGCGCCAGCGCCTCAGCACCCTCACAGGGAAGAGCTTCCTGAGAGCTTGTGAAATACGAACTCACTCCTCTAAACGAGGTAACGAGGGTTTAGTGAGGGACAAAGTCAAGAAAGCAAAAGCGACAGCATGACCGCAGCCAGAGGCGCAAGGGATTAGCATTTGGTACAGGTTTATATACTTTCAGTGTTACATTAGTTACATGCATATTCATAATTCCCACATAGAGGAGGGGGATAATATAACTAGCTTCAAGAATTTATTATCACAAGTCTCCTCCTCTTGGCGCCTGTGCACTGCTCTGTGGTGATTGTGAGCAGGGAGCTTGAGGATGAAGTAAACAGTCTTCCTCTTGTGAGCAGGGGTCTTCAAGATGAAGTAAGCAGTCTTCCTCACGGTGTACTTTTCACCTCTGGCACAGTTGGACACCCCAGCAACCACACAACCAGCTATATCTGTAATTATTCTGAGAAATAGCAAGGATTTAAAACAGTGTGACCTTCCTGCAAAATTTGTTGCAGGATGGGCAGACAAGGAGTATCCCAAGCTAGCAGAGCCTTGGGAGGCTCTGTCTGAAACTAACTGATAAGGATGGTGTGAAATAACCCATTCATGTTTAGTGGGGCCACTAAAGCCTGTTATCTCACCACAGACTTACAACACAAACATTGCTCTTTAAAACTACTTTAGAAGACTAGCCTGAAGCAATTAACTCATGTTTAAGTGGGGCCACTACATCCCACGGACTTACAACATAAACATTGTTCTCTTTCTACAGCCTAAGTTAAGCTAAACAGTACTTTAACCCTATGTTTTCCAGGCACTAGCTTTCCTTATACCAAGCTTCACACCCTACCTTCTCTTACCTTTACAAATTCTTTTGCTATGTGACTCCATTTAGATCAAGAGATCTGAACCTTTTTAACTTGTTGTCTAGTCTGGTATCTTTAGCGTGTTTTGTTTCTGTTACTGCAAACTCGTACAGTTATATCCTGCACGTGAGCACACCTATGATTTGAGAAAGCCAATACATTTATGTGTTCATCACAATCTCACCTCAATCCACCTCTGTGGAAAGGAAAAAGGGGATAAAATAAGCAGTAAATCGCAGCCTCCTTGTGACTTCCCAAAGCCTCCGGTTTCAGTTCTAAAGCCCCGTTCGCAGGGTCCCAAGGCTCAGGTTCAGTTTCCAAAGGCTCGGCCGCGGGGATGCTGCTGCCGGGCGGGGGGCGCACGAGCCCGGCCGCGGGGCTGGGCAGGGCCCGCTCCGCCGTTCCCCGGGCTCCCGCGGCCGCGAGACCCCCCCCGCCGGCCGCTCCGCCCGGTGGCAGCGGGCGCCCGGGCCGCGCGTGGACAGAGCCGTTGACAGAGAGGCTGCGGCGGCGGCGGCAGCAGCGGCTTCTGAGCGGCTTCTGAGCGGCTTTTGAGCAGCAGCGACTTCGGCAGCGGCTTCTGAGCGGCAGCGGCTTCGGTAGGAGCAGCAGCAGGGGCAGCAGCACCAGGTGAGGCGGCGGCGGCAGCTCTCGGCGGTCCGGAGCCCGCCCTCCGCCGCTCCCCGCGATGGTGCCTCCCCCGTCCCCCCAGCGTCCCCCCGCAGGGGCTCGCGGCACCGCTCCCCTCTCCCGGTACTGGCAGTGGCGGCGCTGGGCGAGCCGCCGCCGCTGGGTCTGGGTCTGGCGAGGCAGCGCCGGCCCCTGGCGCTCCCCGGCCCGCCCCCAGGCCCCGCCCCGCCTGGGGCCGGCCGGGGGCCGCCACCATCCACAGGTGCCCGGCGGAGCGCGGACCGGCGGCGGAGCGCGGACCGGCGGCGGAGCGCGGACCGGCGGCGGAGCGCGGACCGGCGGCGGAGCGCGGACCGGCGGCGGAGCGCGGACCGGCGGCGGAGCGCGGACCGGCGGCGGAGCGCGGACCGGCGGCGGAGCGCCCGCTCCCTCCCCGCCCCGCAGCCTCCCGGCAGCCGCGACCCCCGAGACCCCGGAGCGCGGTGCTGCTGCGGGGGTGCCGTCACCGGCAGCGCGGTCGGGCAAGGTGCCCGTGCTCCTCCTGACCCGCATTGACCCGTCGGCCTATCTGCGCTCCGGGACCGGCGGGGAGCGGCGCGCCGCGGAGCCTCGGCCGGGAAAGGCCGGGAATGATGCGGCTCCGCTCGGCCCGGAGCGCCCGGTGGGGGCCGGCGGGGACCCCGCGCGCAGCGACAGCGGCCGCGTCTGTCGCACGGGGCACGACAAGGAGAGCTTCGAGCGGCTTTACCGCGTGGGACCGCTGCTGGGGAGAGGCGGCTTCGCGTCCGTGTACTCGGGGCTCCGCCTGTGTGACAACAGCCCGGTAAGGGCGGGCCCGGCGGCGGGCCGGGGAGGCGGCGGGGCTCAGCTCAGCTCAGCTCAGCCCAGCGCTGCCCTTGGCTCGCAGGTGGCGATCAAACAAGTGGCTCGGGAGCGCATCTCCTCGTGGGGGGAGCGGGTGAGTGCGCGGGGCCACCGGGACAGTGCGGGGCAGAGCGGGTGGGGGTGAGCCGGTGGGGCCGGCGGGGGGGAAAGTGGGACAGGGAGAGGGGAGTGGGTGTGGAATCACCAGGGGACACGGGCCGGGTAGGGGTGCACCAGAGCATCCCTGGGGATTGCGGGGGGCACCTGCAGGAGGGCATCAGAGCATCCCAGGCAGGGAGGCACAGGAGCCCCGGGCCAGCATCGGCCCTGCTGACAGTGCCGTGGTCCCCCTGCAGCCCAGCGGCACTCGCATTCCCTTGGAGATAGCCATGTTGAGGAAGGTGCGCTCCGGCTGCAGTGCCATCATCCAGCTCCTCCATTGGTTTGAGCTGCCCCACTCCTTTGTGCTGGTTCTGGAGCGTCCGGAGCCATCGCAGGACCTCTCCGACTTCATCAAAAAATGGAGGTTCCTGCCCGAGAATCTGGCGCGGGGCATTTTCCTCCAGGTGCTGGTGGCTGTGCGGCACTGCCACAGCCGCGGTGTCCTGCACAGGGATATCAAGCCCAAGAACATCATCATCAACTTGGCCACCAGAGAGGTCAAGCTTATTGACTTTGGTTGCAGCACCCTCCTCAGGGACACGGTCTACACCAAATTTAGCGGTGAGCCCACAGCCCAGGGTGCTTCCCGTACCGAGCAGTTTGTGAACAAGAGTCACGTGCTGATGACGAGGTGGCGGGTCACACCGAGTGTGCGTCCCCACGTCCGTGGCGCCACCGGTGCAGCCCCTGCATCCCTGGGGATCCGCGGGCGAGAATCCAGGAGCAGGCGGCATCTGCCTAATGAGGTGCGCCCGTATCCTGTTGTAGGAACACCTTTGTACTACCCGCCGGAGTGGTTCCGCTGGCGCTGCTACCACGGCCGTCCGGCGGCGATCTGGTCCCTGGGCGTGCTGCTGTATGAGATGGTGTGCGGGGTCCTCCCCTTCCGGTGCTGCGAGGACATCGTCAGCGGGCAGTTCTTCTTCCAGCGCCGGATCTCTGTCGGTAGGTACCTGGCTTCGCAGCAGCAGGGGAAGGTCGGGGTTTAGGGGGTGGCAGCTGATCTCCCTTGGTCAGCTGGAGGAGGTGGCCCATGTCCTGCCATCCTGCTCTCCTCCAAACCGAGTCATGGAGCAGGAGGTCTGGGTGCAGCTCTGAGCGCACCCAGGCCTGGGCGCTGCGGACGGTGGCACAAGGTAGGCAGGAGCCTCCTGCAACTGAGCAGTTGGATTCTGGATTCTCCCCAGAATGCCAGCACCTCATCAGGTGGTGCTTGTCCATGAGAGCTCGCGACAGGCCATCCCTGGACGATGTGTTCAACCACCCTTGGCTGCAAACATCCACTGCCCCAGGAGACAGCCGCCCTCCACCCTCACAGCCTGAGCCAGCAGCTGGGCAAGTAAGCTGGGGGTGCCTCTTGGGGGGAGTGTGGGGTTTGGGGGTTTTGGCAGGTTGGGTTTTGCGGAGAGCAGGTGGTTTTTTTGGGGTTTGGGGGATTTGGGAGTTTGGTGAGGTTGGGTGTTTTGGGGGGACTTTTGCAGTTATTGGGGGGCTTGTGGGGATTGGTTTCTGGGTTCTTTGGAGAGCAATAGGTGTCAGAGGGACACCTCATAAGAGTTAATTCTCCTCCTTGTAGCTGGGGCAGTGGTGAGGTTGGGCTTTAGTCTGAGGATAACGCTGGTAACACACCGATTGTATAGTGGTTTCTGATTAGCACTTACCCCGAGCAAGGCTGATTCAGTCTCTCATGCTCTGCAGTGAGGAGAGACAAGATCTGACAGCAAAGCAACAGACAAAGCGGCTACTCCAACACCCGCCTCGAGCACTGCAGCTACTCCAGCACCAGCCACAACCACTACGGTGACACCAACAATGGCAACAGGCACTGTGGTTACTCCAATGGCAAGGACTGTCACTACAGCTACAACTCCAGCAACATGCACTGCTGCTATTCCAACCAGGGCAAAAAAAGCAGTGTGGCTACTCCAGACTCAGTGACAAGCAGTGAGGCTTCTCAAACCCAAGCCACAAGCACTGCAGGTGCTACAAATACAGCGACAGACACATCAGCCACTCAAACGCCGAGGACAGGCACTGTGGCAGGTGGGACCCAATTCAACATGCCCTGCAGTTAATCCAGCCCCAGGCACAAGGACTGCAGTTACTCCACCACCAGTTTTAAGCTCTGCAGCTACTCTATCTCTGGGAAGGAGCAATGGCGCTACTGTAAGGCCTGCTATGTATACAGTGGCTACGACAACCCCAGCCACAAACACTGCAGCTACTCCAGTGCAAGCCACAACCACTGCAGCCTCTCCAACACCAGTGACACACACTGCTGCTCCTGCAGCCCCATCAACAAGCAGTGAGGCTTCTCCAGCCCAAGCCCTAAGAACTGTGCCTACTGCAACCATGGCAGCAGGCCCGTGGGCTACTCCAATGCCATAGACAGATGCTGTGGCTGCTACAGCTCCAGTGATGGGCACTGCAGGTATTCCAACCACATCAACAAGCAGTGAGGCTTCTCCAGTGTGAGCCACAAGCACTGCGGCTTCTCACTGCCATCCACAAGCCCTGCGGCTACTGCAACCCCAGTGACTGGGACAGTGGCTACTACATGGCAACAATAGGCATAAACACTGCAGCTATTCCAGCCACTGCAACAAGCACAGCAGCTGCTGCAGTGCCAGCCACAGCAATGGGGCTACTCTAATGCCTGACACAGACACTTCCGCTACTGCAACCTCATTGACGAGCAGTGAGGCTTCTCCAAACCATGCACTGCGGGTACTCAAAGTACCGTGACAGACACATCAGCCACTCGAATGCAAAGTACAGGACCTGTGGCTACTCCAGCCTTGTCAAGAAGCACTTTGGACAACCCAACCCCAGGCACAAGCACTGCAGCTGCTCCACCACCAGTTTCCAGCTATGCAGCTATTCCAACTCTAGGAGGGAGCACTGCCGCTACTCTTAAGGCCTGCAACGTTTGCAGTGGCTAGATCAACCCCAGGCACAAACACTGTGGCTTCTCCAGCGCCACTGACAAACACTGCTGCTCCTCCAATGCCATCGACAAGCAGTGAGGCTTCTTCAGTGCAAGCACAAGCACTGCAGCTTCTCATTGCCAGCCAGAAGCCCTGCGGCTGCTGCAACCCCAGTGAGTGGGACAGTGGCTACTACATGGCAACCATAGACATAAACACTGCAGCTATTCCAGCCACTGCAACAAGAACAGCAGCTGCTGCAGTGCCAGCCACAGCAACGGGGCTACTCCAATGCCTGAGACAGACACTGCCGCTACTGCAACCTCATTGACGAGCAGTGAGGATTCTCCAAACCAAGCCACATGCACTGCGGGTACTCAAAGTACCGTAACAGACACATCAGCCACTCGAATGCAAAGGACAAGCACTGTGGCTACTCCAGCCCCATCAAGAAGCACTTTGGACAATCCAACCCCAGGCACAAGCACTGCAGTTGCTCCACCACCAGTTTCCAGCTATGCAGCTATTCCAACTCTAGGAGGGAGCACTGTCGCTACTCTTAAGGCCTGCAATGTTTGCAGTGGCTAGATCAACCCCAGGCACAAACACTGTGGCTACTGCAAATCCTACCAGAAGCACTACAGCTACTCCAGTGCCAGCCACAACCACTGCAGCCTCTCCAACACCTGTGACCCATCAACAAGCAGTGAGGCTTCTCAATCCCAAGCCACAAGCACTGCAGGTACTACAACTACAGCGAGAGACACATCAGGCACTCAAACGCCGAGGACAGGCACTGTGGCTGGTGCAACCCAATTCACCATGCCCTGCAGTTAATCCAGCCCCAGGCACAAGGACTGCAGTTACTCCACCACCAGTTTTAAGCTCTGCAGCTACTCTATCTCTGGGAAGGAGCAATGGCGCTACTGTAAGGCCTGCTATGTATACAGTGGCTACGACAACCCCAGCCACAAACACTGCAGCTACTCCAGTGCAAGCCACAACCACTGCAGCCTCTCCAACGCCAGTGACACACACTGCTGCTCCTGGAGCCCCATCAACAAGCAGTGAGGCTTCTCCAGTGCGAGCCACAAGCACTGCGGCTTCTCACTGCCATCCACAAGCCCTGCGGCTACTGCAACCCCAGTGACTGGGACAGCGGCTACTACATGGCAACGATAGGCATAAACACTGCAGCTATTCCAGCCACTGCAACAAGCACAGCAGCTACTGCAGTGCCAGCCAGAACAATGGGGCTACTCCAGTGCCTGAGACAGACACTGCCGCTACTGCAACCTCATTGATGAGCAGTGAGGATTCTCCAAACCAAGCCTCATGCTCTGCGGGTACTCAAAGTACTGTGACAGACACATCAGCCACTCGAATGCAAAGGACAGGCACTGTGGCTACTCCAGCCACATCAACAAGCACTGTGACTAATCCAACCCCAGGCACAAGCACTGCAGTTGCTCCACCACCAGTTTTAAGCTCTGCAGCTATTCCAACTCTAGGAAGGAGCAATGGGGCTACTCTAAGGCCTGCAACATAGGCAGTGCCTAGATCAACCCTACCCAGAAGCACTGTGCCTTCTCCAACGCCACTGACAAACACTGCTGCTCCTCCAACGCCATCGACAAGCAGTGAGGCTTCTCCAACCCAAGCCCTAAGAACTGTGCCTACTGCAACCATGGCAGCAGGCACATGGGTTACTCCAATGCCAAGGACAGGTGCTGTGGCTGCTACAACTCCAGTGATGGGCACTGCAGGTATTCCAACCACATCAACAAGCAGTGAGGCTTCTCCAGTGCGAGCCACAAGCACTGTGGCTTCTCACTGCCAGGCACAAGACCTGCGTCTTCTCATTGCCAGCCACAAGCCCTGCATCTACTGCAATCCCTGCGACTGGGACTGTGGCTACTACATGGCAACAACAGGCATAAACACTGCAGCTATTCCAGCCACTGCAACAAGCCCAGCAGCTGCTGCAGTGCCAGCCACAGCAACAGGGCTACTCCAATGCCTGAGACAGACACTGCTGCTACTGCAACCTCATTGATGAGCAGTGAGGCTTCTCTAAACCAAGCCTCATGCTCTGTGGGTACTCCCCATACCCACAACTGCCCCCCAGGTGACCCTCAAGTAACCTCCTACACCCAAAACTGCTCCCAAGTGACCCCCTAGTGACCCCCAGACCAAAACCAGTTCCCCAAGTGTCCCCCAAATGAAATCCCAGACCCACAAGTGCCCTCCAAGTGACCCCAAAGACCCAGAGCTGCCCTCCAGTCATCTCCCAGACCTACAACAGTCCCACAACTGCCCCCCGAGTGACCACTCAGACCCACAACTGCCCCCAAGTGACCCCCCAGACCCACAACTGCCCCCAAGTGACCCCCCAGACCCACAACTGCCCCCAAGTGACCGCCCAGACACACAACTGCCCCCAAGTGACCCCCCAGACACACACCTGCCCGCCAAGAGAGCTCGCAGACCTACCTCTGCCCCCCAAGTGTTTACCCAGTGACCCCCAGAGCCATAACTGCCCCCAAATGATCCCCTCAGCCCTAAAATTGCCCCCCTAGTGGCCTCCCGGACCCACAACTGCCTCCCAACTGACCCCCAGTGATTCCCCAGACCCAAACGTGCCTCCCAAGTGACCCCCAAGTGACTCCCCAGACCCACACCTGCCTCCCAAGTGACCCCCAAATGACTCCCCAGACCCACAACGTCCCCACAAGAGATCTCCCTGACCTACAACTGTTTCCCAGCTGACACCCCAGTCTGCCCCAGACCCACAACTGCCCCATGTGCTCCCCAAGTGTTTCCCAACACCCACAACTACCCCTCAGTGCCCCGCTCCCATCCCGTTCCCATCCCATTCCCACCCCGCTCCCATCCCGCTCCATCTTGCTCCCATCCTGTTCCCATCCCGCTCCCATCCCGTTCCCATCCCACTCCCATCCCAGCTCCATCCTGTTCCCATCCCTCTCCCATCCCGGCTCCATCCCATTCCCATCCCGTTCCCATCCTGCTCCCATCCCGGCTCCATCCCGTTCCCATCCCGGTCCCATCCCGGCTCCATCCCGTTCCCATCCCACTCCCATCCAGCTCCCATCCCGCTTCCATGCCGCTCCCATCCCATTCCCATCCCGCCGCTCCATGCCGCTCCATCCCTTTCCCATCCGTTTCCCATCCTGCTCCCATCCCGTTGCAATCCCGCTCCTACCCCGCTCCCATCCCACTCCCACCCCGCTCCCATCCCGTTGCAATCCCGCTCCTACCCCGCTCCCATCCCACTCCCACCCCGCTCCCATCCCGTTGCCATCCCATTGCTATCCCGTTCCCATCCCGTTCCCGTCCCGCTCCATCCCGTTCCCATCCCGTTCCTGTCCCACTCCCATCCCGTTCCCATCCCGCTCCATCTCGTTCCCATCCTGTTCCCATCCTGGCTCCATCCCGCTGCCATCCCAGCTCCATCCCGCTCCCATCCGGCTCCATCCCGCTCCATCCCGTTCCCATCCCAGCTCCATCCCGCTCCCATCCCGCTCCCATCCCATTCCCATCCCGCTCCCATCCCGCTCCATCCTGTTCCCATCCTGGCCTCATCCCGCTCCCATCCCGCTCCCATCCTGCTCCCATCCCGTTCCCATCACACTCCCATCCCGGCTCCATCCCGCTCCCATCCCGCTCCATCCCATTCCCATCCCGGCCCCATCCCGCTCCCATCCCATTCCCATCCCGGCTCCATCCTGTTCCCATCCTGCTCCCATCCCGGCTCCATCCCGTTCTCATCCCGCTCCCATCCCGTTCCCACCCCGCTCCCATCCCGGCTCCATCCCGCTCCCATCCCGCTCCCATCCCGCTCCCATCCCGTTCCCATCCCGCTCCCACCCCGTTCCCACCCCGCTCCCATCCCGGCCCCATCCCGCTCCCATCCCCCTCCCATCCCGCTCCCATCCCGTTCCCATCCCGCTCCCATCCCGGCTCCTTCCCGCTCCCATCCCGCTCCATCCCATTCCCATCCCAGCCCCATCCCGCTCCCATCCCGTTCCCATCCCGTTCCAATCCCGGCCCCATCCCGTTCCCATCCTGCTCCCATCCCGGCTCCATCCCGTTCCAATCCCGCTCCCGTCCCGTTCCCATCCCACTCCCATCCCGCTCCCATCTCGTCCCCATCCCGCTCCATCCCGTTCCCATCCCGCTCCCATCCCGCTCCCATCTCGGCTCCCATCCCGTTCCCATCCCGACTCCATCCCGTTCCCATCCCGCTGCCATCCCGTTCCCATCCTGCTCCCATCCCGGCTCCATCCCGCTCTCATCCCGCTCCCATCCCGTTCCCATCCCGCTCCCATCCGGGCTCCATCCCAGTCCCACCCCGCTCCCATGCCGCTCCCACCCCGCTCCCATCCCAGCTCCATCCCGCTCCCATCCCGTTCCCATCCCATTCCCATCCCGCTCCCACCCCGTTCCCACCCCGCTCCCATCCTGCTCCATCCCGCTCCCATCCCGTTCCCATCCCGCTCCATCCCGGCCCCATCCCGCTCCCATCCCGCTCCCATCCCGTTCCCATCCCGGCTCCATCCCGCTCCCATCCTGCTCCATCCCGTTCCCATCCCGGCCCCATCCCGCTCCCATCCCGTTCCCATCCTGCTCCATCCCAGCCCCATCCCGCTCCCATCCCGTTCCCATCCCGCTGCCATCCCGTTCCCATCCTGCTCCCATCCCGGCTCCATCCCGCTCTCATCCCGCTCCCATCCCGTTCCCATCCCGCTCCCATCCGGGCTCCATCCCACTCCCACCCCGCTCCCATGCCGCTCCCACCCCGCTCCCATCCCAGCTCCATCCCGCTCCCATCCCGTTCCCATCCCATTCCCATCCCGCTCCCACCCCGTTCCCACCCCGCTCCCATCCTGCTCCATCCCGCTCCCATCCTGTTCCCATCCCGCTCCATCCCGGCTCCATCCCGCTCCCATCCTGCTCCATCCCGGCCCCATCCCGCTCCCATCCTGTTCCCATCCTGCTCCATCCCGGCCCCATCCCGCTCCCATCCCCCTCCCATCCCGCTCCCATCCCTTTCCCATCCCGCTCCCATCCCGGCTCCATCTCGCTCCCATCCCGCTGCATCCCGTTCCCATCCCGCTCCCATCCCATTCCCATCCCGCTCCATCCTGTTCCCATCCTGGCCCCATCCCTTTCCCATCCTGCTCCCATCCTGGCTCCATCATGTTCCCATCCCGCTCCCATCCCGCTCCCATCCCGCTCCCATCCCGTTCCCATCCCGCTCCATCCTGTTCCCATCCCGGCCCCATCCCTTTCCCATCCTGCTCCCATCCCGGCTCCATCATGTTCCCATCCCGCTCCCATCCCGCTCCCATCCCGTTCCCATCCCGCTCCATCCTGTTCCCATCCCGGCCCCATCCCTTTCCCATCCTGCTCCCATCCCGGCTCCATCCTGTTCCCATCCCGCTCCCATCCCATTCCCATCCCACTCCCATCCCGCCCCCATCTCGTTCCCATCCCGCTCCATCTCGTTCCCATCCCGCTCCCATCCCGTTCCCATCCCGCTCCCATCCCGTTCCCATTGATACAGAGGGTTGACCAATGTACAGGGGGGTAGTACAGGGATATTGTACAAGGGGGTTGTACAGGGGGGTTGTACAAGGGGGTTAGAGGAATTTGCTTGCTTAAACAAAAGTATTGTCTGTTGTAAATGCCTGCTAAGCAGAACAAAGGCACCTGGTCCTATTGATAAGGAAAAGCAGACACCTGGTCCTATTGGTAAGCAGCTATTGATAAGGAAAAGCAGACACTTGGTCCTATTGATAAGCAGCTATTGATAAGGAAAAGCAGACACTTGGTCCTATTGATAAGCAGCTATTGATAAGGAAAAGCAGACACTTGGTCCTATTGATAAGCAGCTATTGATAAGGAAAAGCAGACGCCTGAATCTACTAACAAGGGGAGAAGCAGATGGTTTATGGCTGGGATACCGGGCCAAACCCTGAGGCCATATGTGAAGACTGAAAGGTGAAAAGTGCAAGGAGAGGAAGACTCATTTACTTCATCTTGAAGACCCCTACCCAGAGGAGGAAGACTCATTTACTTCATCTTGAGACCCCTGCCCATGACCAGAGGGGGCGATGCGCAGGCGCGGAGGACCTTCTGGCTCATTATAATACGAAGCGGGGATAGGATATGAATATGTATAGGCGTATTGTGCAACCTTATGAATATGTATAACTTTAGAGGATAAATGTAGAGGGAAACAACACTGAGGTACGCATGACTTTGAGGAATTATCCCTATGCGTCTCAGCGCTGAATAAAAGCATACCTACTTTACAACTTCTAACAAGTTGTGGAGTTTATCCGCGCATCACCATCCCTCTCCCATCCCGTTCCCATCCCGGCTCAATCCCGTTCCCATCGCGCTCCCATCCCGCTCCCATCCTGCTCCCATCCCGTTCCCATCCCTCTCCCATCCCGCTCCCATCCCTCTCCCATCCCGCTCCCATCCCGTTCCCATCCCGCTCCCATCCCACGTTTTCCTTTCCATATCCCCCCCCCTCCGCTCCCCCCAGTCTCGGCGCGCCCGGCCCCTTCCCGCCGTCCCCTCCGTGGCGCCGGCTCTGACGTCATCCCCCCGCGCCGCCCGCTGTCATGGCGGCGGTGCAGGCGGAGGATCCTGTCGAGGGCTGGAGCTCACCCGCGTCTGCCCCGGGAGCAGGGTCAGGCCCCACAGCTCTGCTCCTGCCAGCGCTGCCGAGCCCTGCACTCACTCGATGGTGCCATCGGAGCGCCCCACACAGCGCAGCACGGGCTGGGCCGTTGCTCTGGCTCCGGCAGAGGCACAACTGCCTCGGGAAGCTGCCAGCGAGCAACGAGAGCTGAGAAGCGGCTGCAGAAGGGCTCTGCTGTGGGGCTGAAAGCCAAGGGTGCTGCAGGGAAAGGAAAGGAAAGGAAAGGAGAAAGGAAAGGAAAGGAAAGGAGAAAGGAAAGGAAAGGGAAGGGAAGGAGAGACTGCAGAGCCTCAGCCCTTGGGCTTCCTTCAGAGGAGGTGGCGGTGCTGCCCTCGATCCTGGCTGTTCTCCAGGCCTGACCTGCCCTCAGGGGGCTGCAGGGGCCTCTGCCGAGGCCAGCAGCAGAGACAGGATGTTCTGCACAAATGTCTGCCCCTGATCCTGGGCCTGACTCGGTGCTGAGAGCTCTTCTGCAGCCAAATGGGGATCGTGTTTTGCAGTCACGCAGTCACAGCCTGGTTTGGGGTGGAAGGGACCTTAAAGCTCACCCAGTCCCAGCCCCTGGGTGCCCAGTGGCCATGGGCACGATGCTGCCGCCATCACCAAGCCGTGGCGGTCGCTGTGGATTTGCCCGTTGTGACGGGGCCTCCACGGTGAGCGTGGGCTCTTTAAGGAGGGAGAGCCTTGCAGAAGAGACCCCTCTCTCAGGAGGCTGCATCTCCCGTGGCTGCCCTGCGCATCCAGGTATGTGTTCTTTGACTTTGCAATCCTGTTTTAGTGTTGGCTTGAAACACATTGTGGGTGCAACGCAGGAGCCGTCTGTGTGCAGGAGCTGCTGGTGTCAGAGGAGATGAGAAGGTGTCAGGGCCCACCGGGCTTAAAAGCAT